TAGCTAAGATTTAGCAGAAAGGCAGGTTTATAATTGTAACTAGTAATAATATTATAAATTATACAGAGATATTAAGCCTGTAAATAATCAAGATCAAGACTTTTCTCAAAAAAACCAAAGATGAATAAAAAAAAATTGACGCAATCTTGATCTTGAGAATGAGCACCGCCCTGAAAGAGAGAGACCAGTAATCTGTAGAGGAATTCGTGACAAGTGTGTCCGTTTCGATGGACCTTTCCGTTTGGAAGGAAAGTTCACGAGGAAAGCTAACCCCTGCTTATCCCCATTCTTTTGTAAGAAAATACATTTTAAATAGTATTTTGACGGAAAATAATACAATGGGCACCGATGCTTAGGCTTCGTTTGGGAATAATTTTGAATAATTTTGAGAATTGATTTTTCAATCGTTAAGAGAAAAATAGGGGCTATATGCGAGAGAATGGAATAGTAAAATAACGGTCAAAAATTAATTTTCGGAATAAAAAATCACTCCCAAACAACTTCTTAGCTTATGTTAAGTACCGGTAATATGACACACCAATTAGGTGAAATTAGTTCATTTCCCATATTTTGACATCATTTTAATAATATATTTTACAATAAAATAATATTACACGTAAATTTAAAATTTTCCCTTATCTTTAAATCATAAATTTCTCATTAATACATTGCTCAAAAATTCATTTTTATAAAAAGAATGGAGTTCAAACAAGGGTTTTTAATGAGGAAATTGGGTGGGGAAATTTAAAATAGCTCACCATATTTTCTTTGTAATAATAGTCTCTTTCTAGTGAATGCATATATTTATAGGTTTAAATGGTTAATTGTTTCCAATCTATTTTTAGAAATCTTGTATTTTTGTCACCTTAACATTTCATTCTCCCTTACCACTTACACAAGCCTCTTTTCTCTTTGCATTTGATATGCCCTCTTCTCCTTTCTACATTGTTAATAATCAATAACGAAACCCTTTTTGGTGAAGAAGGCACTTCAATTATGGCAGGATGTGCTCATGGTCTGGTCGTTTATTCTCAAATCAATGATCGAATGTAGAAAATCTAGAGTGTTGATTGAGGGATAGTGCGTCTAAGAAATTTTTGTATGTCAAACTTTCTTTCTTTTTTGGTTTGATAAGCTCAAGTTGCAAGTTATTTGATGGGCATGATCTCATCCTTTCAAAAGAAAGAGAGGTAGGTAGGATATAGGCTAGCTTTTGGAATGAAAATGTTTGGGACTGTTTCTTCAGTTTAGCAATTAATTAGATCGTGACTATGTTACGCTTAAGAATGAACTTTCCATTTTGGTGCTCGATTAAAGTCTTGATACATCGACTTTTAAGCATCTAGTAGTGGAGATTTTAACGTGAACCATTTGGGCTACTACAATATGGACTTACTCATCTTGTGATTTACAAGGGCTTAATTTTTTCAACTCCAATGGATGCACCATTGCACCAAATTTTGGTGCAAACTCCATTACACCAAATTGTACCAAAATTTGGTGCAAACGATTTTGGTGCAAAATGGTGCAACATGAATAGTGTTTGCACCATATTTGGTGCAACACTATTCATTACACCATTTTTTGTACCAAATGGCGCAATATCCATTTTGTTCTTATTTTTCATTTTTCAAAGATAATAGTTAAGGGTATTTCTGTCATTTTCGTTCTATAATAATGATGATGATGATCATAATAACTACTTAATTAATTACACTATTAATTATATTATTAAAGTTTATTATTTTTAATAATATAATCAATAATAATTGACGTAATTGTTAATTTAACGTAAAGTTTACGTTTAAAGTTTAATTTAATGTGAAGTTTATATTATTTAAGTTTATTATTTTTGTAAATTTAACGTAATTGTTTATCATAAATTAATAATATAATCAATTGTTTTTGTCAATTTAATATAATATATAAGACACGTGAATAATTTAGTAATCAATATATTTGTTAATTTAACGAAATTATGATTTAGTAATTTATATAGTTATAAATAAATAAATAAATACATTATCAAAAATTGAAAGAATGATTAAAATAATAAAAGTGGAAATTACATTATCTAATACATTTACAGATTCCATTTCTTAAATCATATGTGAAGTTTAGTTTTTCAAAAATCAGATTTTTTACATTATTGAATAAATTAAAAAATTAAGTAATCAATTTACCCAAACACAATTTCAAACCCTAATTTATTTCTCCCCAGTTCCCTCTCTATTCTCGCCTCTGTCGGAACTCTCTGTATATTGTTGTCTCTCTCTTTGCCAAAAAGCAACCCGTCGGACTGAAGCCACGCGATCATCCCTTCATTCATCGGTGCTTCCACTCACAGTGCCATTACGGAGTTAAGCGCTTTCTGTGATTTGGCATGAAGCGTTTGCTGCGATTCGGAAAGCAACCCACCGAAGTGAAGCGCTTGCCGTGATTCGGCGCGATCTTCATTTTCATTTGTGATAGAGATAAAGAAGACGGTGGACTTGAGGAGCTAGTTGTGGTGATTATTGATTCATGCGACTGTAGTCGTAGCGAGGACGACGGGTGGTGCGCTCAGTGGTGTGCAGTAGCAGTGATGGTGAGTGAGATGGTGGTGGAGATGGGTCTGCTGAGGTTGTGATAAATCTTGTATGCGATGGTATTTTCCTGTGATGTGTGGATTTGTTTGAGACGGAAGCGATGGTGATTGTGCTATTGGAGTTGGCGGTGATAAGTGATTTGGTTGGTGGTGTGTGTGTGGTGTGGCAGTGTGTAGCGGTGGTGTGAAGATGTGTGTGGGGTAGGGGTGGCGATGGCGTGGAGGTGCCGATGTGTGGTGATGGTGCGAGGGTGATGTATGTTGATTTGTTTGGGACATAGGTGTTACTGTGAGGTGATGGTGGGGGTGGTTTTGGCCGTCACGGGGTCATTTGTGAGGGAGGAAGTCTTTGTTTGGTGGTCACAGTTGGTCATGGCGGTTTGATTGATTGTGACTAATAATTGGATATGTGACCTGAAAATTGTGATTGTGACTCTCAATTGTTACTCACAAATGATGAAGTTGTGATCGAAAAATTAATCGTGACCATTAAATCTAATAATTTTACACTGAAAATAATCTGTGACCTAAAAAATTCTGGATTCTGTGACTTAAAATATTTTTGGATTTATGATTGAAAATATTTTATGACCTATAAAATTTTCAATTTGTGACCGAGAAATAAGTTGCAACAAAAAATTTGATAAGTTGTGAATGAAATTTAATCTGTGACTAATTAATTGGATAATTGTGACTAAAAACTTTAATCTGTGATCGATAATTTATAATTTGTGACCGATAATTTATAATTTGTGACTGTATAAGAAGTTGTGACTTATAGTATTTGTGATTTGTGACCAATAAATAAATCGTAATTTTTTAATTTGTGATCAATAAACAAACTGTGACCTATATATTTTCGAATTGTGATCGTAAAATAATTTGTGACATAAAATTTTTGATTTGTGACCAAAAAATAATACGTAACAAACTAAATATATTTAATTTGTGACATAAAATTGTACAAATTTGTGACCTAAATATATTTAATTGTGTTTTGATGTTACAGTGGCGGTGATGTCGATAGTGGTGGCTGTGGGCGATGTTGACGGTGGTTTTATGGCTGTGGTGCGGTGGTCGCATGTGTTGTGACCAACTAATAAGTTGAATGTGGCCAATAATTGGTTAATTTGTAATAAATAAATAATACGTGACCTATAAAAATTGTGTTTATGACTTATAATTTATTGAGTTGTGACCGAAAAATTAATCTGTGACTTATAAAATTTTTGATTCGTGATCGAAAAATAATATGTGACCTATAAAATTTGTATTTGTGACTTATAATTTATTGAGTTGTGACCGAAAAATTAATCTGTGACCTATAAAATTTTTGATTCGTGATCGAAAAATAATATGTGACCTATAAAATTTGTGTTTGTGACTTATAATTTATTGAATTGTGATCGAAAAATTAATCTGTGACCTATAAAATTTTTGATTCGTGATCGAAAAATAATATATGACCTATAAAATTTGTGTTTGTAACTTATAATTTATTGAGTTATGACCGAAAAATTAATCTGTGACCTATAAAATTTTTGATTCGTGATCGAAAAATAATATGTGACCTATAAAATTTTTGTTTGTGATTTATAATTTATTGAGTTGCGACCGAAAAATTAATCTGTGACCTATAAAATTTTTTATTCGTGATCGAAAAATAATATGTGACCTATAAAATTTGTGTTTGTAACTTATAATTTATTGAGGTATGACCAAAAAATTAATCTGTGACCTATAAATTTTTTGATTCGTGATTGAAAAATAATATGTGACCTATAAAATTTGTGTTTGTGACTTATAATTTATTGAGTTGTGACCGAAAAATTAATCCGTGACTTATAAAACTTTTGATTCGTGATCGAAAAATAATATGTGACCTATAAATTTTTTAATTTGTGATCGAAATATAAGTTGTGACCAATAATATTATAAGTCGTGATTAAAAATTAATCCGTGACTAATTATTTTTGGATTTGTGACCAATAAACAAACTGTGACTTATAAAATTTTTGAAATGTGATCGTAAAAAAATTTGTGACATAAAATTTTTTATTTTTGACCAAAAAATAATAAGTAACTAATTATATTGTTAATTTGTGACCAATTATATAGATCTGTGACCTAAATATATTTAATTAATAAAATAATTAATTAACTAATTAAATTATAAATAATTTTTAATAAAAATCTGATTTTAGAAATTTGAAACTTGTTTTCTTATTTTTGAAATGTGCCATAATTAATTTCTTAGTTATGAAATTTTTTCATAATAAAATACTGTTTATTTGGTGTAATAATTGAAGAAGAATTTTGATTTGGTGCCACAAGCTCATCGTGATTGTTATACAGTTTAGCCCTTTGGGCCACAAACAATATGAGCTTGAATTCATCAACTCTAAGCCCATGTAAATTATACCATATAGCCTTATTCCTTCTAGGGTTTCTGTCACGTTAGCGAACCCTAAATTCTTGCTCATATTTCATAAACCCTGAAAATGGCGGAGAGAGGCGCTGGAGATCGCGGTGGTTTTGGACGTGGCTTTGGTGGCCGCGGACGTGGACGTGGAGGTGACAGAGGAGGTCGACGTGGTGGCCGAGGTGCGGGCCGCCGTGCTCCCGAAGAGAAAGACTGGGTTCCGGTGACGAAGCTTGGCCGTCTAGTAAGAGACGGAAAAATCAAGTCAATTGAGCAAATATACCTCCATTCCCTCCCAATCAAAGAGTACCAAATCGTCGATATCCTAATCGGCCCCTCTTTGAAAGACGAGGTGATGAAAATCATGCCCGTCCAGAAGCAGACCCGAGCCGGTCAGAGGACCCGATTCAAGGCGTTCGTGGTGGTTGGAGATGGGAACGGGCACGTTGGGCTCGGCGTCAAATGCTCGAAGGAAGTGGCAACTGCGATTCGTGGCTCAATTATATTGGCTAAGCTTTCTGTGATTCCAGTCAGGAGAGGGTACTGGGGGAATAAGATCGGTAAACCACACACTGTTCCTTGTAAGGTCACTGGAAAATGTGGTTCAGTAACAGTCCGCATGGTGCCCGCACCTCGTGGAGCCGGAATTGTCGCTGCCCGTGTCCCCAAGAAGGTTCTGCAATTTGCTGGTATTGAAGACGTCTTCACCTCCTCCCGAGGCTCCACCAAGACCCTTGGAAACTTCGTCAAGGTGTGTTCTGAATTATTTTTGGTTCTTCTCATTCTTTGGCATTGATTTTGATCTGAAATTTACCCCCGTGGAACTTGTTGATGTTCTGAAGAATTTATGCATTTCTGTTGATTAAATGTCTTTGGGTAACACGAATAATAGTTGATACTCTTAAAACTTATGTGAGGATGATTCCAAAGTTCTAACTTATAATTACAATGATGAGAAAACAGATTTTTATTTAGGGTTTAGTTTATTGTGGTGAACAATATTGAAGTAGGGATAGAACATAAAATCTTGTTCTTTATACTATACTATTATTGAGTGTTAGCTAAAGATCAGATTTTTAATAGATTTTGATAAATGCTTATTATACATGAGCTCGAAAAGTTGGTAAAAGCTGTGTATCCCATTTGTGAAAATTAATTGTAGACTTTGATTTGGATTTTATCGACTGTTTCTGACTAATGAAGGCATTGGTAATTTACACTGGTTCTGTAGTCATTTCATCTAGTGACTTGTCTTTGGATGCTAATGAATTTTGCACTTTACAGGCAACCTTTGATTGTCTTTTGAAGACTTATGGTTTCCTCACTCCGGACTTATGGAGGGAGACTCGCTTCTCAAAATCTCCTTTACAAGAGTACACTGATCTTTTGGCAAGGCCGACCGCCAAGGTTGTCCAAGTCATCGAGGATGCAGGAGCCTGAACTTTTTGGACTGAGATGTTTTGCTAAGTTTTCTAGTTAGACAATATTTATACTTTGTCTTGCTCTTTCGATCAAATACTTGAATTTTGTTTCAAGTTTTGCTTTAAATTGAAGATCTAGCCTTTTTAAGTTTTTCTCTATTTGAATGAATTGATTTTTTCCACTTAATTATAAACTGAATTTATCCAAATCCTACTATAGATCTATGGTTGAAATGGATAATTTTTGGATATTGATACATTAATATACTAACAAGTAGTTAGTCATTCGCTTTACATTGAAATATAATATTGGCCCGTGTCTTCTAAACCAGCAATTTCGGATATTAGGGTCTCTCGTCTCTTTACAAGGTCTTCTGATGTGGACATCAGCTTTTGTATTATGGACTTTTATTCATGCTTTCTTTAGTGGGCTTGTATTAATGGGTTGACCTAAGCTCTTTATACTTTTTGGGTTTGTTTTGCTTATTTAAAGAATGTGTAATGAAGCTTGAAAAAGGAGATGATGAATTGATGAAGATGAATGAAATGTTTGGTTATATTTTCTCCTCCCCCGGCCTGACCTCTTATTCTCTTCTTCTCCGGTCTTCTTTCCCCCATTTTCTCGGGTTCTTGATGCCTATTTCTTTTTGATCCTTTGCCTATTTTCTGCTGGTTATTGTTGAACTGCTGAAATCCCATTGATCCTACATCAACTTGTCGAGTTTTGATATTTTGTTTTTAAGAAAGATCGTCCTCGATGGTATGAAGCTAGCCACATTGCTGATGGTTTGGAGATTGATGGCAACCTTTTGTGATTTATCTACTCGACTGGGTCGAGTTCTTCTCCCACCCCAGGAGAATTGATGCGGACATCAGTTTTTATATTATGGACTTTTATTCATGCTTTCTTTAGTGGGCTTATATTAATGGGCTGGCTATGCCCGTTATGCTTTTTAGGTTTGTTTTGCTTATTTAAAGGGAAAAATTCATAGTTCGGGTGTATTATTTATACCAATTCACAAATCAGGTACATAGTTCAAAAATTCAAAATTCAGGTATTTATATAATTAATTGAAAATCACAGTTATAAGATTAATGGTTACAGATTTATAATTATAAGTCACAGATTTATTTTCTGGTCACATATCATCAAATTAATTGGTCATAAATTATTTCAAGGTCACAAATCTAAAATTTTGTAGGTCATAAATTATTTCAAGGTTACAAATCCAAAATTTACGGATCTCAAATTGCTTCAAGGTCAAATAAATTGGTCACAAATTGTCAAATTCTTAGGTCACACTTAAATAGTTGGTAACAAATAACTAAATGATTGGTCACATGCGTTAAATAGTGGTCGTATATCAGCACAAAAACATCCACCACACAAACACTATCATTATCAGCAGCACACAAAACACCATCTAAATCTCACCCAAATCGCCAGATCTATCACCACAAAATCGCCGCCGCCACCACCACACAAAACACCATCCAAACCTACAAAATCGCCATCAACCCAAGCTATTTCTGCTTCGCGTGGCTTGCTATAGTGTTCCGACGATTTCATTTCACCATCGGAGTGGTAGATCTGCTTCACTAATTCATTTCATTATCTCAGCTTGTGGTGATTTGAGAAGGGAAAAGTGCGACGACGTGGTACTTCTTCATTACAGTAGCACCAGCGAAGGGTACTCCAGCAATGACATGCTTCGATGACGACGACGTCTGACGAAGAGAAGACATGAGATGGAGTTAGGGAGATGAAGAGATGGAGATGAAGAGGAGTCAGTGACAAGAGAGAGATGGACAGTGAGAGTGAAATGAAGAGAGAAGGGAAATTATTAGGGTTTTTAATTGAACTGAGTGGGTTAATTATATATAATACCTTATTTTTGCATAAATAAATTTCACCCCTGAATTTTTAATTTGAAAGTTTTAATACCTGATTTTCTGTAATTTCCTCTTTCAAGAATGTGTAATGAAGCTTGAAAGAGGAGACGATGAAATGATGAAGATAATGAAATGTTTGGTTAAGTTTTCTTCTTCCCGACCTCTCCTCTTAATCTCTTCTTCTCCGGTCTTCTCCCTCCATTCTCTCCCTCTCTTGCTGCCTTTTTCTTTTTAATCCTCTGCTTATTTTCTGCTGGTTATTGTTCAACTGCTAAAATTCCATTGATCCTACATCATCTTTCCCCGTCACTTATATATGTGTTTCTTTGGTACCCTGGTGCTCGCTTGAATAGCATAGTTTTATACAATGGGTCGTTGAATTGTTAAGCTAGAACTTCATTTATAATAATTCATCCTAGGCTTCGGTTCTTCTCTTGGTTATGTTTTCTGGTAGCTGTCCCTTGGTTATGTAATTATGGACTTCACCTGGTTTCCAGTTCTAAAGCTACAACATTATTCCAGTTGTGTTCTTTAGGGATAAACGTCTCAACTTTCTTGGCTATTCTCTCCTCACCTTCTTGAGGATGACTTGAGACTTGAAATGAAGAATTATGTGTTGCTGCAGAATGTGGGAAAATCCATGTTGTCGTGTTCTCTCTTGGATTTGAATCAATGTCCTAACGGGATAGTTGCTTTTGCTAAAACTCGTTTAGGTTTTTGAATACGACGATATGCCAATCTCACAAATTTGAAGGAGTGCTCAGGAGATTTTTGGTTTCTTGTGAACGGAACGTTTAGGTTTTTGAATACCTGCATCGTTTTAAAATACCTTGGACGATATGTCAATCTCCTCACAAATTCAAAGAAGCGTTTAGGAGATTTTGGTTTCTTGTGAAACGGAACGAGGATAACGTTTTCAAAAATGATAATACTCCACACGCAAAAATTATAAGACCGGTTTAATATAAGTTATTTATTTTCGAACTATAACAATTGCCGTCAAAAGAACTATATTTTTAGTTCATACTATTTAATGAGGATTAGAATCTTTATTTTTATTTAAATCAAAGTTAATAATTAATTTTAATAATATATTTTATGAGATTCACAATTTTTTAATTATATATTTTATTGATTTTTATCAAAATTTATTAAAATTTTGATTTTAATACATGACTTATGATGTTTACCACAAACAAAAATTGGTATTTAATAATTAAAAGACCAGACTTTTTGAAGTTTGTCCGGTACAAAAACGAAGCTTGGCCGTCTAGTAAGAGACGGAAAAATCAAGTCAATTGAGCAAATATACCTCCATTCCCTCCCAATCAAAGAGTACCAAATCGTCGATATCCTAATCGGCCCCTCTTTGAAAGACGAGGTGATGAAAATCATGCCCGTCCAGAAGCAGACCCGAGCCGGTCAGAGGACCCGATTCAAGGCGTTCGTGGTGGTTGGAGATGGGAACGGGCACGTTGGGCTCGGCGTCAAATGCTCGAAGGAAGTGGCAACTGCGATTCGTGGCTCAATTATATTGGCTAAGCTTTCTGTGATTCCAGTCAGGAGAGGGTACTGGGGGAATAAGATCGGTAAACCACACACTGTTCCTTGTAAGGTCACTGGAAAATGTGGTTCAGTAACAGTCCGCATGGTGCCCGCACCTCGTGGAGCCGGAATTGTCGCTGCCCGTGTCCCCAAGAAGGTTCTGCAATTTGCTGGTATTGAAGACGTCTTCACCTCCTCCCGAGGCTCCACCAAGACCCTTGGAAACTTCGTCAAGGTGTGTTCTGATTTATTTTTGGTTCTTCTCATTCTTTGGCATTGATTTTGATCTGAAATTTACCCCCGTGGAACTTGTTGATGTTCTGAAGAATTTATGCATTTCTGTTGATTAAATGTCTTTGGGTAACACGAATAATAGTTGATACTCTTAAAACTTGTTTCAATTTGTTAATATGTGAGGATGATTCCAAAGTTCTAACTTATAATTACAATGATGAGATAACAGATTTTTATTTCGGGTTTAGTTTATTGTGGTGAACAATATTGAAGTAGGGATAGAACATAAAATCTTGTTCTTTATACGATACTATTATTGAGTGTTAGCTAAAGATCAGATTTTTAATAGATTTTTATAAATGTTTATTATACATGAGCTCGAAAAGTTGGTAAAAGCTGTGTATCCCATTTGTGAAAATTAATTGTAGCCTTTGATTTGGATTTTATCGACTGTTTCTGACTAATGAAGGCATTGGTAATTTACACTGGTTCTGTAGTCATTTCATCTAGTGACTCGTCTTTGGATGCTAATGAATTTTGCACTTTACAGGCAACCTTTGATTGTCTTTTGAAGACTTATGGTTTCCTCACTCCGGACTTATGGAGGGAGACTCGCTTCTCAAAATCTCCTTTACAAGAGTACACTGATCTTTTGGCAAGGCCGACCGCCAAGGTTGTCCAAGTCATCGAGGATGCAGGAGCCTGAACTTTTTGGACTGAGATGTTTTGCTAAGTTTTCTAGTTAGACAATATTTATACTTTGTCTTGCTCTTTCGATCAAATACTTGAATTTTGTTTCAAGTTTTGCTTTAAATTGAAGATCTAGCCTTTTTAAGTTTTTCTCTATTTGAATGAATTGATTTTTTCCACTTAATTATAAACTGAATTTATCCAAATCCTACTATAGATCTATGGTTGAAATGGATAATTTTTGGATATTGATACATTAATATACTAACAAGTAGTTAGTCATTCGCTTTACATTGAAATATAATATTGGCCCGTGTCTTCTAAACCAGCAATTTCGGATATTAGGGTCTCTCGTCTCTTTACAAGGTCTTCTGATGTGGACATCAGCTTTTGTATTATGGACTTTTATTCATGCTTTCTTTAGTGGGCTTGTATTAATGGGTTGACCTAAGCTCTTTATACTTTTTGGGTTTGTTTTGCTTATTTAAAGAATGTGTAATGAAGCTTGAAAAAGGAGATGATGAATTGATGAAGATGAATGAAATGTTTGGTTATATTTTCTCCTCCCCCGGCCTGACCTTTTATTCTCTTCTTCTCCGGTCTTCTTTCCCCCATTTTCTCGGGTTCTTGATGCCTATTTCTTTTTGATCCTTTGCCTATTTTCTGCTGGTTATTGTTGAACTGCTGAAATCCCATTGATCCTACATCAACTTGTCGAGTTTTGATATTTTGTTTTTAAGAAAGATCGTCCTCGATGGTATGAAGCTAGCCACATTGCTGATGGTTTGGAGATTGATGGCAACCTTTTGTGATTTATCTACTCGACAGGGTCGAGTTCTTCTCCCACCCCAGGAGAATTGATGCGGACATCAGTTTTTATATTATGGACTTTTATTCATGCTTTCTTTAGTGGGCTTATATTAATGGGCTGGCTATGCCCGTTATGCTTTTTAGGTTTGTTTTGCTTATTTAAAGGGAAAAATTCATAGTTCGGGTGTATTATTTATACCAATTCACAAATCAGGTACATAATTCAAAAATTCAAAATTCAGGTATTTATATAATTAATTGAAAATCACAGTTATAAGATTAATGGTTACAGATTTATAATTATAAGTCACAGATTTATTTTCTGGTCACATATCATCAAATTAATTGGTCATGAATTATTTCAAGGTCACAAATCTAAAATTTTGTAGGTCATAAATTATTTCAAGGTCACAGATCCAAAATTTACGGGTCTCAAATTGCTTCAAGGTCAAATAAATTGGTCACAAATTGTCAAATTCTTAGGTCACACTTAAATAGTTGGTAACAAATAACTGTTCAAAAATTCAAAATTCAGGTATTTATATAATTAATTGAAAATCACAGTTATAAGATTAATGGTTACAGATTTATAATTATAAGTCACAGATTTATTTTCTGGTCACATATCATCAAATTAATTGGTCATAAATTATTTCAAGGTCACAAATCTAAAATTTTGTAGGTCATAAATTATTTCAAGGTTACAAATCCAAAATTTACGGATCTCAAATTGCTTCAAGGTCAAATAAATTGGTCACAAATTGTCAAATTCTTAGGTCACACTTAAATAGTTGGTAACAAATAACTAAATGATTGGTCACATGCGTTAAATAGTGGTCGTATATCAGCACAAAAACATCCACCACACAAACACTATCATTATCAGCAGCACACAAAACACCATCTAAATCTCACCCAAATCGCCAGATCTATCACCACAAAATCGCCGCCGCCACCACCACACAAAACACCATCCAAACCCACAAAATCGCCATCAACCCAAGCTATTTCTGCTTCGCGTGGCTTGCTATAGTGTTCCGACGATTTCATTTCACCATCGGAGTGGTAGATCTGCTTCACTAATTCATTTCATTATCTCAGCTTGTGGTGATTTGAGAAGGGAAAAGTGCGACGACGTGGTACTTCTTCATTACAGTAGCACCAGCGAAGGGTACTCCAGCAATGACATGCTTCGATGACGACGACGTCTGACGAAGAGAAGACATGAGATGGAGTTAGGGAGATGAAGAGATGGAGATGAAGAGGAGTCAGTGACAAGAGAGAGATGGACAGTGAGAGTGAAATGAAGAGAGAAGGGAAATTATTAGGGTTTTTAATTGAACTGAGTGGGTTAATTATATATAATACCTTATTTTTGCATAAATAAATTTCACCCCTGAATTTTTAATTTGAAAGTTTTAATACCTGATTTTCTGTAATTTCCTCTTTCAAGAATGTGTAATGAAGCTTGAAAGAGGAGACGATGAAATGATGAAGATAATGAAATGTTTGGTTAAGTTTTCTTCTTCCCGACCTCTCCTCTTAATCTCTTCTTCTCCGGTCTTCTCCCTCCATTCTCTCCCTCTCTTGCTGCCTTTTTCTTTTTAATCCTCTGCTTATTTTCTGCTGGTTATTGTTCAACTGCTAAAATTCCATTGATCCTACATCATCTTTCCCCGTCACTTATATATGTGTTTCTTTGGTACCCTGGTGCTCGCTTGAATAGCATAGTTTTATACAATGGGTCGTTGAATTGTTAAGCTAGAACTTCATTTATAATAATTCATCCTAGGCTTCGGTTCTTCTCTTGGTTATGTTTTCTGGTAGCTGTCCCTTGGTTATGTAATTATGGGCTTCACCTGGTTTCCAGTTCTAAAGCTACAACATTATTCCAGTTGTGTTCTTTAGGGATAAACGTCTCAACTTTCTTGGCTATTCTCTCCTCACCTTCTTGAGGATGACTTGAGACTTGAAATGAAGAATTATGTGTTGCTGCAGAATGTGGGAAAATCCACGTTGTCGTGTTCTCTCTTGGATTTGAATCAATGTCCTAACGGGATAGTTGCTTTTGCTAAAACTCGTTTAGGTTTTTGAATACGACGATATGCCAATCTCACAAATTTGAAGGAGTGCTCAGGAGATTTTTGGTTTCTTGTGAAACGGAACGTTTAGGTTTTTGAATACCTGCATCGTTTTAAAATACCGTGGACGATATGTCAATCTCCTCACAAATTCAAAGAAGCGTTTAGGAGATTTTGGTTTCTTGTGAAACGGAACGAGGATAACGTTTTCAAAAATGATAATACTCCACACGCAAAAATTATAAGACCGGTTTAATATAAGTTATTTATTTTCGAACTATAACAATTGCCGTCAAAAGAACTATATTTTTAGTTCATACTATTTAATGAGGATTAGAATCTTTATTTTTATTTAAATCAAAGTTAATAATTAATTTTAATAATATATTTTATGAGATTCACAATTTTTTAATTATATATTTTATTGATTTTTATCAAAATTTATTAAAATTTTGATTTTAATACATGACTTATGATGTTTTAATAAATTTTGATTTTAATACATGACTTATGATGTTTACCACAAACAAAAATTGGTATTTAATAATTAAAAGACCAGACTTTTTGAAGTTTGTCCGGTACAAAAAATAGGGAAAAAATGGCGAAGCTCATGATGCCCGCTGACTATTTCTTTTCTTCCCTTTGTCTAAAAAGTTTTCCCTTTCACTTGGAAATCCTCGCTTTTACTTAGCAAGTGGGCTAACTTGTGTTTTTTATTTAGATTGGATCTTGACTATTTCATAGCCATCTCTCCCTCTTGGATGGAGTGCATTAATAGCGTAGACGAACAGTTTAATAAAAAAAGATCAAATTTAATGGAATTATCATATTATCATAGTACAAATAGTACGTTCCGTAGATCATATACATAGAAAGAGATATAGCTATGTTGAAAAGACAGTTATCGTGTTCATAAATACAGCTAGACGAGATTAAATATGGGAGAAGATTGCCTATTGAATTATGAAGAAAACTAAACGTACAAGGTTGCTTTGTCAGGTGTTCTACAAGTAAATAGAAAATGCTGATGTGGATTCAATTAGAAAAAAAAAAAAAGCGGCATTTGGAGGGAAATGAAAATGAGAAACACAGTGTTGGAGTCAAATTGAACCCCAAATTCTCAAACAGTCAAACGCTCATTTCATCCATTCATTTCTCTGAAGCCTGAAATCCGAAAACTCCGACGACCCCTAACTGCACAACTAGTTCCTGGCCAGCCGTATTCTCGCCCTCCAACGAATTCCCATGTGAGCCAAACTTTCAACAACGGCCCTCATTTCATCCATTTCCTCGAAGCATGAAATCAAGCAATTCCTCCATGCGACAACTGTCGGCCTAGCCGTCTTTAATTCTTGAGATGAATTGGGTCTTTAATTGTGTATCTTATTGCCTGAATTGAGATAAATTGTTTCTTGATGTTATTAATGTTTTATACGGTCTTCATACTGATGATCTATATCTAGGTAAGAATTCCTTTGATTAAGATGGTTGTGTTGAAAGGAAAATATTTTAATCAAAATTCATTGTCTTCAAGAGCTAATTATAATGTTTTGAGATGAAAGAAGAGTGCTTGGATACCCATTTAGGGAGTGTAGTGATGATTGCATTTACTCTATGACCCTTTGAAACCCCACAAGTGCACGGAATTGTGAGCGAGTAATATAATGGTAAATTAAGTATCAAACTCAGGATGACTATGTATTTGATCTTGTTGAAGCAATTAATACCCTTAATCGAATAGTAAGATAGAATTTTAAGGAATGAATGTCTAATTTATCACTAACTAGAAAACAAAGTAAAAACTTGTCAAATTCGTGAAATGTATTACTAAGATATAGAATCTTCCTTGTTAATCCATTTTTTAGTTTAACAATGTGAATTGACAATTTCGAAATCATGCTTATTGGCGATGTTCCTCTTTTAATTATTAGCTTCTCTCGATAGAAATTAAATCTAATCCTACACGGGACCTTCCTATATCTCTATGAAAGATAGGAACGTGCAAGAAAGCATTAAACGAACTTGAACATCAATAAAAATCATGTGAAATATAGAGGTATATCTCCATTCTCTATTAAACTTCACAAAATTTATCACTACGTGTTAATGATCCTACTATCTTTTGATTATAATAAAATTTACAAACAATTCAACTAATGACCTGTTAATTGAAAAGCAAACCAAACTTTGATAAACATTGAAACATTCAAATAAATTAATGTCAATCAAATCATTCAGCCAAAAATCTTATAACAATGGTTCATCTCATCCTAGCAATGAAAAGAGTCCAGCCAAGCATATTGAAATCACACGAA